ATTTTCCTAATTTTGATCATTTGACCATATTTTCCTCAAAATTAAGGAATCTCCTCTGATCGTCTCCTCTATTAGAGAATCTCCTCTGATCGTCTCCAACCACGAGCCCGGCAACTTCGGCAGAAAATAATCCTCCCATGTAACTCCGTAACCCTATCGTGATGCTACTAAAACCTTGAACCAGCATAATCATACATGAATTGTTCATAAATTTGCAGAAATTAAACTTGGACCAAAAGCTTTAAAACTTTAGAGACCAGTTTCAAAACTGAAGAAAATTTACTTTTGTAAAACTGGGATTTTTACCTTTAGACATCTTTCTAAAAAATAATTAATTAGGTAACTAAACAGTCCAAAATTTTAACTATAAGCATATTACACCTTGGAGAATTACATGCTAAAATTTAGTATGAAAAATCAATCAATAGGTGGGTAAAAATTATTTTTAAATTTGGACCGTATCGGGAAAACAGCATTAACTTGAGTTTCATACACTCAAAATCCATGATTTCAAATCTGAGAGAGATATAACTCATATGGCTTCCTTCTTCAATTTGAATCACTTCAAAATTTCAAGTATTCTGGTTAGGGTGAATTATTCAACGTATAGGCAGAAACTGAAAATTTTGTAAACAGTTTTAACTTTGCAAACTCAAAACAAATATATGAACCAATAGAAAGTATTCTATCCTACTTGAACAAATTTTCATCAAATAAGTCTTTAAACATTCAAAATTGTTAAATTGAAATATTCAAGAATTTAAGTATTTGTTCAAAATAACACGACTTAAATAATAACTTTGGGATTTACCCCGAGGCACCACTGTTCTCCTCCATGCACCATCGATTGCATTAATCTGAAATTATTACGTAGGGGGATTGAGTAATAGACTCATACGCGCGTTATATCAAAACATATCATAATGCAGGTGTAAGTGTTATGCCCTAGGTCCAATCGATTTTGGACATAAACATTTTTAATATATATATAATCGATGAGTATTTATGGCAATATCTATTATTTAATTAAATTAATATTCTAATAAATTAAATAATAGAATCAGTAAATTCAAATTTTAGTGATTTGTTAATTACAAGGA